TACGTGCTGGGGTTGTTGAGGATGGCCTTGGCATGGATGCCAGCCTTGTGGGTAAAGGCGCAGAAACCGGTGATGTAGTTGTTGAAGGGGGTGTTGACCTGGACCGCTTCAGCGACCATGTCCTCAATCTCCTTGAGCTTGTGCAGCTTGTACTTCTTGGTGACGTACTCGCGGTCCTGGACGATCATGCGGGCCATGAGGCCACCTAGGGGGGTGATGCCGTTCCGCTCGCCAATGCCGAGGACAGAGACGTCAACGTGAGTCGCCCCGGCCTCGAGGGCGCAGAACGCGTTCGAGATGGCGCAGCCCGTGTCGTTGTGCATGTGGACCTCGATATCGCAAGACACAACACCGCGCAAAGTGCGCACCAGCTCATACACCTGGCGGGGCGAGGCGCAGCCAACGGTGTCAGCAATGCCAACACGGTTGACACCGACCTTGTCGACGGTGCGGTAGAGGGCAAGCAGGTCGACTAGGTCGGACCGGAAAGAGTCCTCAGACGAGAAGCGAACCTCGAGGCCCTTGGACTTGACAAAGTTGATCACCTCGATGGCGCTCTTGGTGATGTACTCCATGTCCTTGCCGTGGGAGAACTCACGCAGCATGTGCGAGGTGCCGATGACAACGTCCAGACCGTCAACACCGGTCTCGACAGCAATCTTGGCGTCCTCCATGGTGCAGCGGACATGGGTCAGGATCTTGGCCTTGAGGCCGAGCTTGCAGATGGCCTCGCAGTCCATACGGGACTGCTCGGAAGCGGCAGGGGAGGTCAGCTCAATGTAGTCGACGCCGAACTCATCGAGGGCCTTGGCGATCTTGATCTTGGTCTCTGTGTCGAAAAAGGCGTTGGCGAACTGCTCGCCTTCCCGCAGCGTCGACTCGATCAGCTTGAAGCGGGAGACATTGGATAGGAAGTCGCCAACAGGCTGGTAGGGATTGGAGTTGCGGGTGGTGTGGGCTTGTTGGCCCGAGCTGGGCAGGCTTGAGCCCTGGTGAGAGGGTTAGCATTGCTGTCAAGACGATGGCGACTCTGATTTAACTTACGCTGACGTCGGCAGAGGGAGACATGGTGTCGAGAGGCTGTCGTTACGAACCGGGGGTTGGGGGAGGGTTCGAAAGAAGTGAGGAGGTGTCGAGTTGATTGCAGAAAAGGGATTATTGAGAAGGAGGTCAAAAGTGAGGGTATTTAAAGAGTTTCTTCGACCGGAAGGTTCGTGAGTATGACTGTTTCGTTGATGGATCTGGGACGGGAGGAGCAAAATGACACAAAAAAGCAGAGTCCTTGGAAAAATTGACAGCGGCGGGTGGGCTTAAAGTTCTCTATGTCTTGTTCGATGGCGGCGAGGGCGGCGAGAGCGGCGAGGAGTAGGCTTGTAGTTGATGACTTGACACTAAGAGCGCGCAGGTTCGCCCTCCGATGAGCGCTGCAAGCCCTGCGGAATCGAGGAAAATAGTATTGGGTGACTCACCCCAATTGGTCAATGAGAATTTTTCTGGTCCCTTTTTTTTATTTTCATTTTTATTTTAAATTTTCTTGCAATTTTTTTCTGCCAATTTTTTAGGCGGTCGGCTGCGGATGGTAGGCAATGCGGCTGTGGGTCTCCTTCCCACCAATCAATGGTCATGTTGCTAAATGCACGGGATGGTCAACCCCGCACTGTGAACGCATTTTGCATACGACATTTGTTGCATACTCCGTAGTTACCCCACGTATGTCCTACAAGGATGTAAGGTAAGGTAAAAGGATATGAGCAAGGGCCGGCTGCGGCGGTGTTCTCTTCATGCTTGACATATAACACCTACAAATTCGCTGAAAAATGCACCTGAGAACAAGAGCATAACATCACTATTACGATGGTGACGACCATGCACTGAAACACACTCGCTTGGGACCACCCACCCACATCTCCATTTTTGGTAGAGGAAGAAAAAGCAGTGACGAAAGTCTGATTTATTGACGTCGCTTAATTGGAGACACACACGGCACAGTGGGCGGGAGGAGAGAGCACATGGTAACCAGTCCTGGCAATCTCACGTGATTAAATAATGCCGCTTTTTATGATCGCAACGGGAGAGTGTATTAAGCCGTGGTATAGCTTTGTCAAACGGGCGTTGTTCGGGATTCGTCGACTGGAGCAGCAATATGCCAGAGGCCTAGTGCGTGTAAATGCACCGATGGACCATTTCTTAATAAAGCATGAGAAGGAAGAGGTTAAAACGAAGAGAGAACGTTCCGTACAGTGCAATTCAGGAAACAGACTTGAGGAGCTTGACATCGGTCAGATCCGGTGTCTCCAGGTCGGTTTGCAAATATGTCGTATGCACGGCATATGTTTGTTAGCTGCAGTCTATTGCGGTTGGCTGCACCATCGCCTTGTTTCCGACCTTTCGCCTCCGAACTCGGGAATTGAAAAATTCACACTGTGTTTTGTGTTTCTGCAAATGGATCGGCCAGACGAGTTAGCGCTCCTTGCACCCAATGAGATCTTAGCGAATACAAAGAAAGGCCATACGAAAATCGGCGGACTTGGGAAAAGCAGTCTGATCCCGTCCATTTCCGTCGTGAAGTTCCGCAACATGTGGAGAAGGGCCAGGGTGAAGAAGTGCGCATGCTTGGGAATTGAACACGGAACAAGCTACGTCATTTCATTTTGCTGGTAAACGTCGACGTAGCCGAGGACTTGGTCAGTCATGAAGCTTGTGTTATCAGGTGTAAATGTTGCACGCACTAGGTTGGCTTGATCTCAACTGCTCGTGCTCTGTTGAGCTTTGTTTATTAAGGGGGATGGCCAACCACATGCAACTTGGTTCGAAACGAGAGACCAGTTGTCCAACTTTTTGACTTTTCTTTTTTTTCTTGAAGAATTTCTTTACCACCGTGCAGCTTGGCGCTTTGTTGGTAAAAGCTGAAAGTGGTTGTGACTCAACGATCTGATTTTATGAGCTCGGCAAAGTGCTGCACTGGGTTGACCGTGTCCATAAGTGTTTGTCTCTCGGCATATTGGATTTTCAATGGAGTTTCTTCCTGTGCGGCCCCATTCAATGGCACGATGCACAACACTAGGAGCGCCAATGGGTCCTAATCGTAATGCCGTGCATAACGATGCATTTCTTTACTTGCCGATGCGAAGACTGGAGATATGGACCTTATGGTCGTTAACACTCGGGGTGACTCAGAACAGCTTTCAGACCACGATCCACTGTTGCGGTCTGGGAAATCTGGCTTGGTTGGCCCCCCCCCATCTTGTCTCCCAACGATTCTTTTGCGTCATTTTCAGTCCAAACATATATATTTCATACAGCATAACTACTCGTCATGATGTGTTTCATTTTCGAGGTTGTACAGGGGCCAAATGACTGGAGTCTGGATGTGATACGACAGAAGCCAACAGACCAACGGACCAACGGACCAACAGAGGCTCGACTGGATGTGCCATTTTAAGCAGAGAGACAGCCGAATTAGAGTTGACCACGTAAAGGGACAATGTCTATGAGAATATGTGAAGGGAATACATGAAAAATTAGAACAGAACGAAAACGAGGCAGAAAAAGAGGCAGAAAGCGAACATGGCTGCACATACAGCTGTTTGCATCGAATCGTCGCTCTCCGTGCGATTGACAAGCCAAAACCGGAAACAACATGTAGTAGTTAGACATCGAAACACGAAAGAAACGATAGTTATCAAAAGCAACGGAAACCAAGCGAAGGATAACAAACGTGTGAAAAATTAAGAATGCTGTTAGAACCGGTAGATCCTTCGCTGCTGCCCTGACAATAGTGCCGTCCAGGAGTAAGATACTGCATCAGCCCCCGATCTTGACCAGCGAATATTCCACGACAGACAGGAATCCCAAATCCCCAAGGTTGCAGCGATGTCTAATGACGAGCAAGCATGCTGTCGTTGTTCTCGCCACCAAGACGGGTGTTTGGGGGTTTGGCGCCCAAAGGTGGGGATTGGGCTCACGATAGCACCTTTTGGCACCAGTCGCCCAGGCCCCCCTGACTGAGCCTTCACGTAAAAGTTGTGATAGATGGAACGCTAATGCCCATGCGCCATTGACAATATGATTGCCACGTTATGAGGCTGTTTTGGACCGAGTGGCTGGTACATGATCAGTGACGTATTTAGATACCAGGCCGGTCACTTCAACAGTTTGGCGTGAAAATTGTTTGTAGAAAAAAATACCCATGGACACAAAAAAGAAACGAAATGCAAAACAATCAGATAGTACGAGGCCTCCATCTCACCAACTGAATTGTTGCCTACGCAGCTGCCTTTCCCCCAATTCGCCTGGCTTTTCTGATTGATACCCAATCAGGTGATATTGAGGCTGGGGCGGGCATTGTTGTCCAATTCTGTCATCTCGCTGTCCAGTCCGAGATAACCAAGTAGGTCGTGGACCTATGTTGCCCGCGACGCCCTATCCCCTGCATTTTCTGCCTGATCGTGTACAAATCATCCGTGTCGGTACCTCGTGAGATTAGTCACAGTACTCTGTAGAACATGTACTTCTGGAGGGAATGCTTGAGTATATACCTCGGGATGGTACGTCGTACTTTTATTTACTGCTGCTGTCTCATTTTCGTGCCGTACAGGTATCGCCTCAAACTTCCGCCCATGGTAGAATGACAAAACCGGACTCATTTCGAATAGATCCCTCTTCATATTTTCATTTCAATCTTCTTCATAGCATATATTTACGTCTCTCGGCATGAGTTACATTAAATACAATAGTACCTCCATCATACAACGTACTTCAAATGACCATGACCGACACCTTTATCATATCCAAGGACAACACCGAGACTATTTCAACATCACCAACAAATTAACTGTGGTTCACTCGCTAGACTGACTGCTCTCAACGAAGCTCCAGTGTATCTATGTGCAGAAACCGGAATCGACAATAAAGAAAACGAAACAAACGCGGAACCGAAATAAATCAAAATCACAAATAGGGTTACAAACAACGAGAGCGGAGCTGATAACTTCTTCAAAATGGACCGAGACAACCAATTTGGCAGCTCGTACCTCCGCGAGGGTGCGACTCGTGTCCGCAAGCCCCGTCTCACATATCGACCAACAAATACGGCTGTCGCCGTAGGCAAAAACACCGACAACGCTCCTGTCGCGAACAAGTGGTCTGCGCCTCATCTGCGCCTCCGACGCCGTCTATCACTCACATCAGACACTACAAACAAGCCACCCGTTGCAAACGATGATGATTCTGAGACGGATCGTATCTTGCAAACACACTCTCGCAACGATGCTAGACGGAGTACCGCCTCCACACCCATGGGCAGCAATGGCTTGACCGCAACACGCCGCGGTTTGATTCGCAACCGTGTTGTGCGTCCAGCAGATCACTCTCGGCCAACAGTTCACTTCTCATCGGGTCGATCCGACGTCATACTCACTCTCCCTGCATCAGGGGAGATACCAACACCAGCGACAGTAGCACGTCGGCCACGCAACATAGGCGATCGATTCCCAGAGCTTCCAAGCGTACATCCGAGCACGGTTCATTCGCGGCGACCAGGCAACCGAGTCTCCGTCCCAATTTTCGGGGCCGATCGTCACGTTCCACCCTACCCCATCTGCAGCTCTGTGCACGGAAGCACGGCAGGCTCAATTTTTACCAATCACAACGGAACAAACACCAATACCAGGAAGACGGTGACGTTCGACTCTTCCGAGACGGAAGACAGCTTTTCATGTCTGTCTAACAGCACACAGGCAACGTCAGTTGATGAACGCGAGCATTATGGCTATGACGACTACCTGCCCAAAGAGAAATCCATACCCGACCCCCTGCAGGCAACCGCCACAGTCAATTGCTCTCAGCATGCACCGTCGTCTACTACATCCTCCACCGCAACAATGTTGCCGCCAACACGCTCTCTGCCCACACGTCGCCGTTCACGGTCCTTTAGCGGCTGTACTGACCATGAACTTCATCGCACAGAGTCAGGCCTTGTACATGTTCCTACAAGGTGGTCCTTGATAGACTCCTATTCTCGCACCGCTTTCGATGCCACAAAAGGAACACCAGTGCCCTCTAGCACCTCGAGCACCATATCTCGTGGTAATACCAGTGAGATGAATAGCCTTGCGCAGTTCGAGGCACATAAAGTGGCCCTGGAGGCACAGTTTGAGCAGCGACGACAAACTCTCGAATCCGAGCAGAAGAAACTTGCTGTCGAGCTCAAGGAGGCAATCACTGCCCTCGGTGAGGCCCAGGCCGAGCGTAACGACCTGCGTCGTGAAGCTGCGGAGCACCGGCAGCGAGCGAAAGCCCTAGCAGAGGAAGTTGACGATCTGCACGCGAGTATGGACAAAAGCCTTCAGCGCAAGGACACCGAGACACAGGAACTCCTCGAGCTCCGTGCCGATCTGGAGTCCAGCAAAATGGCTCTTGAGGAGACCAATGTAGCACTTGCGGCAGTAAAGCAAGCACTAGCAGATGCCAACGCCAATCTGACCCAACTGCGCGACTCGCTTCACCAGGAAGAAACCAACTCGGCCCTCTTTCGCGAGGGCAAAGCTGTCTTTGAAGAACGCTGTAGCGATCTCGAAGTGAAATGCGAAGGCCTCGAAGGTCAGGTCGTTGCCGCGCGGGATGCCAACAAGGAGCTGCATCTTCTCATGGCTGGACAAATCGAGGACCTAAAGGCAACCAAGAATGCACTTCAGGTCCGCATTGGTATTCTGGAAGAAGAAGAGGCTAGTCGAGTCGCAGTCACAGCTGCAGCTGTGGCCGCTGCTGCAGCGGCGGAAGAGAAAGTTTCCGAGAGTGCCAGCAAGTTTGCCGATGAGAGGACGTCACTTGAGGAGAGACTGACCGCATCAGAGTCAAAACGCACTGCGCAGGAAAGCGAGAGACAGGTAGTCGAAACAGAGGTGAACGATCTGAAAGACCAAATCGAAACAATGAATTCCAACATGGTAGCCAAAACTACTGAGCTTGAGGCACTAATGGGAGAATTCGAGAAGGTCAAGAAGGAGAACACTGCTCACCAAGAAACAATTACCAGACATGAGGCCGCCTTGGACAAAGCACACCAAGCAGCAGAAGGCGCAGTCGACACTGTGGAGACGGAGACTTCAGATTCCCTCGGGGAAACAATTTCAAAGCTAGAAGAAGCTCGCGCAGCGCTCTCAGCGGAATGTGAGGCACTGAAGATCAAAGCAGAGACCGGCATCCCGGCCACTGCTGACAGCGACAACAGCGACTCCACGACGCCTGATGCCGAGCTTCAGGAGAAGTACTTAAAACTTGAGGGCACCCACGTTGAGCTGCAGGAAAAGATCGCTTCTTTGGAAGCTAGTCTTTCCTCTGAAAAAGAGGCTGCAGCTGCAGCTTTGGACAAAGCCCAAACAGACGCCGGGAGCGCTCTAGCAGACGCGCAAAATGCCGCCACAGCTGCCAAGGTGGAAGCCGCTGCCCATGCTGCCCAGCTCTCAGAGATCACACAGCAAAATATCAATCTGGCTACGGAAATTGCGGCTCAAAAGGAGATTTTACAGGAGTTACGCGCTGCATACGCCACATCCGAGGCCGAAGGAATGGCCCTTCGAGACCAGTTGGCCAAAATGCGGGCCAAACTCGCCGGTGTTGCCGGATCGGTGACCAGCAATGGCAGCGGTGCCTCGAAAAAGGGAGGCAAGAAGAACAGCAAAGACGACCTGGTCATAGTCCGCACACCTGGTGATCGCGGCCGATTTCAGGTAATGCGCAAGTCAGATCTCCATAGAAGTCCGTCGCGCAGCTCACGGAAGAACGATTACGACTCGGCCTGAACCGTTATTCTGCAGTTCATTTGTATCACAAAGTAGAGGGTGGGTCCACAAATGCCCGAGTGTAGATTTGTGTTCGTCGCATATTGTTTACTTTTTTTGGCTCTCATTGAGGGCTTACGGAGGCTCGTGTATTTTTACCCTCTGTATTTAGTTAAGATCGATGAAATGGAACAATGGCATTTCTAAAACATACGCGAAATATTAGCCAAACACGTGATAATGAATGCGGAATAGAAGTATACTCGTACAGTATGGTAAAACCGAAAGGATCTCAGAATTCTAGATACATATGGTAATTCTGCTTGAAATTGGACACATGGACTCATCGCCAATCTCACAGAGAGGAGGCTGTTTGTTGACATACCCCTTGTTTTAACAGCGCTAAACAAACTTATCGCCGACATTTCCGGCCTTCCAGTTAATTAGTGGATAGCATACAATCCAGAGCGGCTGGGGTCACGGCCATCCTTTATATTTTTCAAAATATAGAAAATGCATACTCACCTAGACACTCGCGCACAGTAAATATTTCTTAGCACATGCCCTGTACCATTTCTAATTTATTTCGCCTGATCACTATTTAGCCTACCGCGTAAGACACCTTGGCCTTGGTCTGCTTCGATATATTTCTCTACATGCAAGCTCCGCCATCCACACCCAAGACCTTGCCATTGATCCACTCGCCGTCCTGAGAGGCGAGGAAAGCCACAACACGAGCAACGTCGATAGGGAGGCCCACGCGGTGGATGGGCGACCAACCGGCAGCGTATTCGTCTGTCTCTTCGTCTGTGAAGCCCAGGCCGTTCGGGATGTATTCACGGCAAACGGCATGGTACATGTCCGCTATTGTGCACAGTCAGTATACCAATTGCGAGCCTCAATAGTTGATGCATGTGTGGAGCCAAGAACTTACTTTTGATGCCACCAGGGGCAACGGCATTGACGGTGATCTTTTTATCACCGAAGTCTACGCTTGTCAGTACGGCTCTCGTCATGTATCACTTCAACGTAGATTGGTACTCACCAACAGCCATGCACCGCACAAATGTCTCGATGGCACCCTTACTCGCCGAGTACACGGCATGACGAGGCACCATTTTGGCCTGGCCCGTAATTGATCCCATCAGGATCAGGCGACCGCCCACCTCGAGATGCTTGTAGGCCTCACGCGCCACAAAGAACTGACCCCGGGTATTGACGCTGAAGACACGGTCAAATTCCTCAGGAGTGACGTCCTTGACATGACCAAAGCTCACAACGCCACTGTTGGAGCATACAATGTCAAGCTTCCCAAATGCCTGCACGGTCTCTTCGAATAGACGCACAATCTGCTCAACATCAGAAACGTTGGCCTTGATGGCCTTAGCATCTGACCCGCTCTTCTTGATGGCCTCAACAACTTCCTGCGCCGAAGCGTCGCTGTTGGCGTAGTTGACAATGATCTTAGCACCGCGACGTCCAAGCTCGAGGGCCATCTCGCGACCAATACCGCGGCCCGCACCGGTGACCAAGGCGACCTTGCCAGATAGGGATGCAGCAGGGAGACCAAGAGGGCCTGGGATGGCGTCGTACTTGCTGCCGGTGTGTTCGGTGGACCCCATTTTAGCAGGTGCTTTGCTTTCTCTTGAAGTATGTGTTGGTAGAAAGAAAGGGCGAATAGCTCGGAAAAGGGGCTGGAAAAGGCTCAGAAGGGCCTGGGTGAGGTACTCGATGAATTTGGCCAGCGCGGCGGTTGGTTTTTTTGTTCAGGGTACCAGGTATATGGAATGAGCGATCGGCAGCTGACGGCGTGTGGTAGGTAGCTCTGTTTTGTATCTTTATGGGAATCTGTCCCTATTTATGTTTTTCAGGAGACATTGTTCCGAGACAGACTGTCCAGGTGGCCACCGGACGGTGTTGGAGAAACCCATAGCGGAGGATGCTGTATCAATCACCGGACGGGGTCGATTCCAGAGCTCGGGGAAGAAGAACGTTAATAGAATTGCTTGGTTATCTGTATTCATTTTCTAGTCAAGTCTGTATCACGTCTGGGATAGACCAGCTCTAAAGCCGCTACCCTACTGCCAATTGTCAGGTAATGCTGGGAAACACAGTAACTGAACGTACTTTCAGAACGCTTAGGCTCTCCTGCATAAGCTGTGTCCAGTTTCTCGGACGTGGCGGCTAATCTGGACGTCCGGCAGTGTTTCACACAAATCCTAACTGTGGATTTCGGTTTGTAGTTTAGGAGGCCACAGTTACTTAACAGATTACCATTGCAATGTCGCCTTTTTCCGCATCAGGTAACTGTCATATCATACTAAGCTGCCAGAGCCATGTGAATTCGATAGGTATGAAACAGAAGACACGTCCGTACTTTAGTTTGCGAGTCGTCGTCCGTAAATATTAATCCACCTCGCATTCCATAGTCGAATGGCCTTTTCAAAAAGGTGCATTGTTCAGCTTCGGATGTCTTGGTGGGGAAATGATGCCATTTTGTCCGGTGAAATTTACAGGTTGACAAAATGCGGGTGATGTTTTTTAATCAGAATCCCGGAAAATCGAGTCTCCGGGACAATTTTATTCTTCGCTATTTGACTTCATCCTACTAAATACTAGGACGGGAGGAAGAAACGACTTGAATTTATGAATTGGTCGTGACTGTTGTAAAATTCTCAAAGTTTTTACTATTTTAACTACAAAACCCTTTGTAGCGGATATATTTTTGAAAAATTATTTATTTATTTATTCTCCCCAAAAATAATCATACGTAAATTGCATAAAACATGAGAAAATAATTGTCAAGCTCCTACACAACAAAAACTAAAAAAAAATCCCACCACTTGGAGGGAATGTGGTACATCTCAATTGTTGACGCCCTTTGTTTCTTGAAGAGCCATCTGTAGACACTGTAAACTCGGTGCTGACTCTCGGACCTACTGTGGCGCCTTCTGTGGCTTTGCTGTTGTGGCTACTGCCTGAACCCCCACGTTTTGAATGTTTCAGCCTTGGGAAGGGGCAGCCGACATTAGCGCACCGACGCGGTTACCATCACGACACCATCTTCATGGAATTAAATCATCTTTCCTAGAGCGCTTTTTTAGAGCGGCTTCTTTGAAGCGGGATCAAGTCTTGTTTGCACCTTTGCGATTTCTTCCTTGGCTATTGAGGTTGAAAACACCATCCTGCGAATGCCGTCGACTGCAGTGGCCTAATCAACTCGGGGCCGGCCCTTCCGTACTTGCCGTTCCTCTCTGACCTTACTGCAAGCACAACTCATTCGACCCACCGACAATCTCGACATTCTCCTGCCTTCGAAATCCCTCTCCAAGATGAGTATCGATTACCAGGCCAAGCGTGGCTTGCTGTCATCAGGATCAGAACACAACCGCAATGCGCGTGGATCCTACGATCTTTCCGACAGCGACCGCGACTCGGACATTGACGCGACGGAGTTCCTGACGACCGATCCTTTACATGGCAATGATGTTTCAGACGGAAAGGGCGATAAGAAGTCCCAAGGATCCAGCGCCTCCTTTAGCTGGCTGGTTCCAGCCCGTTTTCGTAAACGATGGTCGCGGTCACGGTGCTGCCTACTAGCACTGGTCGTTGGCGGCACAATTCTGCTGCTGACAGTGGCAAGCGGCGGATTTGTCTACAAGAAGCTTGGTGAGGAACCTCCCTATGGCCAGTCCCCACCGTGGTATCCGGCACCACTGGGCGGCACGGCGCGGACGTGGGCCGACAGCTATTCAAAGGCTGCCAAGATGGTGAGCCGCATGACACTCCCAGAAAAAGTCAACATAACCACGGGGACGGGCTGGCAGATGGGCTTGAGCGTCGGTACGAACGGGCCTGCAGTCCATGTCGGATTCCCACAACTGAACCTCCAGGATGGACCCTTGGGCATCCGCATGGCCGACAACATCACGGCCCTGCCAGCTGGCATCACCGTTGGCGCCACATGGAACCGCGCGTTGATGTATGCGCACGGTAAAGCACACGCTGAAGAGGCCCGTGCCAAAGGTGTGCATGCTCTGTTAGGCCCCTGTGTTGGGCCTCTTGGTCGTATGCCTGCTGGTGGCCGCAATTGGGAGGGCTTTGGATCGGACCCATACCTGCAGGGGATTGCGGCTGCTGAGACCATCCGGGGCATCCAGGACCAGGGTATCATGGCCACGATCAAGCACTTTGTTGGAAATGAACAGGAGCATTTCCGGCAGCCGCATGAGTGGGGTCTACCTCATGCATTGAGCTCCAACATCGATGACCGTACACTGCACGAGCTCTATGCATGGCCGTTTGGGGATGCTGTGAAAGCAGGCGTGGCCAGTGTCATGTGTAGTTACAACATGGTCAATAACAGCTATTCATGTGGCAACTCGAAGCTCCTCAATGGCATTCTGAAGGACGAGCTTGGTTTCCAAGGCTTTGTCATGTCAGACTGGTAAGGACACTCACTCAGTTTGCAGACCCTATTGCCTTTGCTGACTCTTTCAGGCTCGCCCAGCGATCCGGTGTCAGTACTGCGCTGGCTGGCCTGGACATGACCATGCCCGGTGACGGTCTGCGCTGGCAGAATGGCCGCTCTCTGTGGGGCCCCGAACTCACACGCTCCGTGCTCAACGGGTCCGTACCTCTTGAGCGCTTAAACGACATGGCGACACGCATTGTTGCTGCCTGGTACCAGATGGGACAAGATGATCCAAACTTCTTCCACGGATTTGATGGAGCCGGCGAGCGACCCAACTTTTCTTCGTGGACGCATAATCGTACAGGCGTGCTCGCGCCTGGCAGCCCGTCTACCCAAGACACCGTTGTTGTGAACCAGTTTGTCGACGTGCAGGGTGACCATGCCAACGTTGCCCGACATGTCGCTACCGAAGGCATCGTCCTCTTAAAGAACACCAACAATACTCTGCCCATTGGCACCGACGGCATTACAGGCCAACCGAATCGCATTGTCAAGACACAGCATCCTGCACCGCAATCCGAAAGAGATGCCAACACCAGCCCGACTCCCAGGATCAAGATTGGTATTTTTGGCGAAGACGCTGGGCCGGGCCAGGGTCCTAACTACTGTGAGAACAGGGCTTGCAACCAAGGTACACTGGGGTCTGGATGGGGTTCAGGTGCTGTTGAATTTCCGTATCTCACCTCACCCGTCGATGCGCTGTCGTCAGTTTTCGACGAAAGAAAGGTTGACCTTCGGCGTCGCCTATCCAACCATGGTGTTCATACCGAGACACTTAAAGATTTGGACGTTTGCATTGTGTTTGCCAATGCAGATGCCGGCGAAGGTTTTGTTTCGTGGGGTGGCATTGGTGGCGACCGGAATGATCTCTTGTTGCAAAAAGGCGGCGATGATCTTGTCTACAGCGTTGCCATTGGCTGTGGCGATGGCAAGGGCGATGTAATTGTGGTAATTCACTCTGTCGGGCCAGTTGTCATGGAACGCTGGATCGACTTGCCGCAGGTCAAGGCCCTTGTCTATGCCAACCTGCCCGGCCAAGAAAGCGGAGATGCCCTTGCCGATGTCCTTTTTGGCCGGGTCAATCCAAGTGGCAAGCTGCCGTACACCATCGGACGCACCCTCGAGGACTTCGGCCCTGGAGGCAAGGTCATGTACTTGCCCAACGGCGTTGTTCCTCAGCAGGACTTTTCAGAAGGCCTTTACATCGACTACCGTCATTTTGACAAATACGACATCACGCCACGTTTTGAATTTGGTTACGGCCTTTCCTACACCGACTTTGTCGTTGGCAACCTGTCTGTCCAAGGTGTCCTTCCCAAGAGCTCTCTACCGTCAGCCCGACCGCCCCCTGCCGCCTCTCCGCCTACCTATAGCAACGAGGTCCCCGACATCAAGGAAGCTCTCTTTCCCAAAGAAATACGCCGCCTCGAAAAGTACATTTACCCATACCTCGACACTGTGGACGACCTTGACCTTGTGTCGACCAAGTACCCGTATCCGGATGGCTACGATACTGTGCAGCCGCCATCCGGGGCGGGTGGAGACGAAGGTGGCAACCCAGATCTGTGGCAGGCGTACGTATCTGTCAGTGTGGACGTGCAAAATACAGGAAGTCGCGACGGCAAGGCAGTGGTGCAGCTGTATTTGTCCTACCCCGAGGATGCTGCCGATGCGGCTGGCGTTGACTTCCCTGTGAAAGTTCTTCGGGGCTTTGAGAAGCCGATGTTGAAGAAGGGCGAGACACAGACTGTGACATTTAATCTCACACGGCGTGACCTTAGCTACTGGGACATGCAGCAGCAAAACTGGATCATGGTGACCGGTGGTCAATACCGCTTCCACGTGGGGCAGAGTTCGCGTGACCTTCCTGTGCTGGGAACATGGTAATGCCGGTTTTTCTTTTCTTTTCTTTTCCTTTTTTATGCCGGGTACTTCATTTTATTGTTTAACGGGCGTATGGGACATGTAGTAGCATGGCAGCAAGAGTCTCTTTTATTCTAGACATTCGGGAAAGGAGCTTATGTTGGCATGCCATCAATACATCAATAACGACTGGGAATGTATATATTTCCAATCTGAGGCAGCGCAAACCTTCAATTTATAAACATTTCTTTTCGGTAATCTATATACATGGTGGATTTCAAAATAAAAGCTAGGCACAGTACTCGTTCAGTCAAACTGACCTTCTGTGTTACCCTCGCCCATGCTCTTGTTGCTAGAACTGCCACTCTGAATAGCTCCAATGATGCCATCAATGTAGCTTGCGCCGCTCCACTTCTGGTGTGTCAAGACATCACAGCCGATTTCTTTCTCAGGGCGCTGCACGAGGTTGACATAAGCCAACATGCCGTCTTTCTTGAATTCTTTGGACAGCTGGCACGTAGCGGTCGCAGAGGTGTGGATGCCGGCCAGGGACACCAGCTGCAAAATGAAGCCTTCTTTGGCGATATCCCAGATGAATGAGCGCAACGTCTCCTCGGTGAAGCCCTGGGCCATCCAGTTGAATGACGGCGACAGGTTGTAGACGAGACTCTTGCCCGGATATTTGGCACGCACAGCGCGACCGAGGTCCCGTGCGACCTGAACATTGGGATCGCCAGTCTCAACCCACAACAGATCCGCGTATGGGGCAAAGGCGAGAGCACGCTTGGTGGCGGCAGACATCCCACTGCGGAAGTGGTAGAATCCTTCACGGGTTCGTGGCGTATCCCAGTTGAAATAGACCTCATGGCCTGGTTTAAGGTACTGGTTAGCGAGAGCGCGGCGCTTTGTTATGCCGAGATCGCGGTCTGCCGCCACGGCGGACTCGTAAGCGGCAATATCAGCGGCGGCCACACCCTCAGCCTTGAGGTGGGCAACAGCAGCTTCATCAAAGGTTACCATCTTGGTCTTCTTGACCCAGGCGGCCTCGAAGACGTCGATCTCGGCGCCTGTCGCGCCGTTCGCCTCCATCGATTGCAGTGTCTCTGCGAGGGGCTCCACACTGGGGTCGGCGACGCCAAGAATGAACTCGTGGTCACGGACATCGACAGCCGAGCTTATCAGCTTACCGGACTCAGAGTCTGTGCGTGCCAGCACCAGGTTCTCAGTTCCCATCACGTCCCACTGGAAGCGGGCAGCAACGAGACGGTTGATGTGATCGCCCGTTGGGACAAGGACTTTGCCAGCTAAATGGCCGCACTTCTTACCGCCGTGCAGCTGGTCCTCAAAATGGACCGCCGCAGCACCATTCTCAGCGAACAATTTAGCAAGCTTGAGGACAGCGGACAGGCCACCGTGACCGGTGTCGCCGTCAGCAACAATGGGGCGGAGGTAGTCGACGTACGGCGTGGTAGCACGCTGCTCAGGCGTCATTTTACGGCGCAAATCCCACTGCTTGCGGTCATGCATGCTCTGTGCCTTGGCCATGCGCTGGACTTGGTTGGGCACGGTGTTGTATGGGTAATCGCCGAAATCGGGAGACACTTCGTTCGTGGTCGTCAGGACAGACGAACAAGCCCAGCCGGAGACATAGAGCACCTCCTGGTGTGGTGCCTGTTGAGTCATCTGAACAGGGTCAATGGCACCTAGAGTGTGGATGGGCTCGCCAGCCGCAGCGCGCTTCCGGATGAGTTCCCAGAGCTTGCGGGCCATGGTGGAGCTGGGATACGATTGGACCTGCGAGCCGCGTTTAGAAACAACGTCGGCAGCGGAATATGGCCGCTTGATGCCCTCAAAGCGCGGGGATGCCCACCACTTCTCGACCTCCTTCAGCTGCGACTCGTACAGTGCATCCTCGGAGGCACCAGCCTTGTCGGCCTCGGGCAGCAGCTGGAAGGCATCGCTGGCCAGGACTTTGGACAGTGGTGGTTCAACGGTGGGGAGAACGGCTGTCGAAGTAGCGGAGGAGGTCGCCATGCGGCGCGAGACAGTTGTTGAAAGGAGGCGTGTGGCACTATAGCTAAAAGAAGGCGCAACCGTCCGGGGCAAGGAGAGAAGAGCCGGTGTGGTCCGTCGAGTGGCTGCTTGGCCAACGGCTCGCCGCAGCATGGTCGTTGTAGCGTGGAAAAGAGAGGTGAAGTTCGGACTGAGAACGGTAAATGAAATAACCAATCGGTATCGAGACGATTTGTTTCATGTGTCGTAGCTTGATGTGCTTGTCGCTTTTGCCTGTTGCGAAAATAGGACAATGTTGGACGGAACAAATGAGCTCGGGTATATGTAGGAATCTTGCCTTCCCCAAATATGTGGTTTTACCGAACTTTGAGCTAGAAGGGGCTCTGGAGAGCAGTGGACGACGTCATCACGTGCAGCGCCGTGTTAAAAAGCGGCCAACAGTCGACACTAAAAAGCAGTTAGTGGGCCGACTGGCAACTCTTACTTGCCCAATAAAAAAACGAGTGGCCGAGCTCGGTAGCTTTTACAGTGGCCATCTTTTCAGATTTGCTGATACGATACGGGTGTCGTACTTTAGACGGCATTCGTGCTCCATCAAATCATAAAAACTGTTGTAAGGGTGTATATAAACGAACCTGATTGGGAAATATTGTCGGTTTAAGTAAATCAGCAGTACCCGTAGGCAAGGGCCCACGGAAAGTTGTGCTTGTATAAAATTCAACGCCTCACATATTGCTGAAACCCATATCGATACTGCCGATTCGGGCCCGTGGGCGGCCATAGAGTGCTTGAAGTATCGGTGAAAGTTTGCCGAGGAGGCGACAGTGCTGTCAATCACGCTGGATTTCAAATAGCGATAACGGATAGCCCCTCTCCGCCGGGAGTCTAGCCTCGGTTAGTTACGGCGTATTGCAACCCAGCATTGGACTGTAGTTCGAGAGGCTGGGAAACTACTCGATACGAGTAAACGGGACAACCACGTCGATTTTGTAATGTACTACAGATGCCTTTAATTTATTTGAAACCGTACATACATTAAATTACTGGGAATTAAATTATAGAATAGTTTTTTTATGGATGCGTCACTTTGCATAGTGTGATTTGGCACTGTTGGTAGAACGCGAGGGGTTGTAGTCCGCAGACTTTCATTGTTTTAACCTGGCTCAAAGTAGAGGCAGATGTATTTATTTTATTTGCTTCGTAGTACAATAGAACGAGGTCACAAATGGTGCCGTGAAAAAAATTGCACTAGGTGCTGGCTGGTAAAGTTGAAGTTGGCAGTCTGGTTGGGGCTGCCAGCCAGGTCAAGCCCAACAGTCGATGGCCATGCATGACCGAGCCCTTCAACTGTCAAGGCACGCACCTCAGCATCTTTTGGGCAGTCCCAAACCTCTTCCCATGCCCCTGGATGAACCTCTCGGACGGATGGTAACGGCCAGGCCCCGGCGTAAGGCCCACGACAACCATTGCGTTCTGCCCACTCGCGGCGCCAGAGACGCACATCAGGCTCGGGGCCGAAAGAACCACCTAGCGGCGTGCGGCCTAGAAACTCGGTGTCACGGTCCTCAACGCCATGAGAATGCAGGATCGGTACCGGGCGCGCGGGAGTGCAGTTGAAGAAGGAATAGGTTCCTTGGTAGAGCGCAGGAGAGACAGGGGCAAAAGCCGCGATAATTGCCGACGTGTCAGGGCGACAGGCAAGAAGTGCAGTGAAGCCACCGCCATTTGACTTTCCACAAGCGTATATGCGTGTGCGGTCAACAGTGTAAGCGTCAGCAACGGTGGCGATGATATCATATACATAGGCAATATCATCGACAGTCGTGTTCTCGTAAGGGGCACCTTTCCAGATGTGATGCATGTTCCAGTCCGTATTATTCACACCTTGCGCATATGCCGTCAAAAATGGCCGACCGGAAATGCTTAACGACGCGTCCGATAGTTCCGTGATGCGCTGTTGCTTCTCACTAAAGCCACCGGCTGGATGAGTTAGCTTACGTGTATAGTACGAACGTTTTGCCTTGCACTACAAGCACGAAACAGAAAAAAAATTCACACCTCCATGAAAGGAAAGAACCAGAGGATGTGGCTCTCCATGCGTATATCCAGCTGGAACATTAAGAAGAAACGTGCGATCAGTTGGTAGCGAGTAGGCGATATTGCCAACAGCGGGTAAGCTCGACAGGACAACTTGTGTGGCCTGTGCACCGCAGACAGCGAGCGTAATTGCTGTGATTGAAAACATGTTGATGAGAATTTTTCGTCGTGTATAACATTGCAAAGTCACGAGGTTCAAACGAGTCTGTCGTATTTTGAAAATTTGTAGACTCAGCTGGTAAAGATCTAAGAAAAACTTATAGGAAAACTACTGGCATGAAATGTGTGGACCGGTGTGTTCGGCAGAGATAGGCCGACGTTCGTACCCCGCCAACCTTGTACGCATCGTCATGTCGTTTGCATATGATGTGATAATGGCAGCAACAGCAAATCAAAAACGTTGTCGGGCTGATGCCGTCTGAACATGGCTTTCGAGTTGGCCATGCGGCCGTTTATCGGCGACTAGCTGCATTTGATGCTACATGAAGCAACCGTAGGAAGGATTGAACACGCTCGAAGAACCACCGGCATAGGAATGTTATAGGCGTCTTAAGCTGGATACAGTTTAGTAGCCTGATTGCTATGTCTTGAACAAATGACGACTTAACAAGGGTAAGAGGCTCATAACGAATGGCAAAAGCAGGTAAGTAAATGGCGCGATAAACATACGTTGCTGATGAGATAACATGGTTGACCTCTGCCGCTTATATCTAATCAGGGCTTTGGCTTGTCGCTGCCTTCAACTCTTTCGAAAATTGCAGAGTTTATTCCACTTGTATGTATTGAAAACATGGCATACGGGATAGAGCTCACGGGTCGGGGCGGCCAGACGCCGAGCGACCAGGGTAACGATACCGAAAACATTACAGAGAACAAAGTCGCCATTAGAACGGATATCCTCGACGTCGAGGATGCTAGCGATGAGATTTCTACCAACAGCTCGCGGCCCTTACGACAGCGGGTCGAAGAGACGGAGCTGACACCGGACGAAGCCTTCCGATGGGATGTCAGTGGCGACCAGTCTCCATGTATGCCCACCTAATATTCCTTCTATTTGTGTGACCTGTTTCTGACTGCTACTCTGTCTAGTTCCGGAGGTTGCGGCTTGCGTACCAAACACGGATGATCCTGAAATGGCATGCAGTAGTATGTCTTGTGGCCGAAGTGCCGGTCCAGTGCTTCTTTAGGGGTCTGTTTACATTGGCTAACAAAAGCCAGCTTTCCGCGCCTGGACACTTACGACCATTTTTGTAATGTTGTTTGCAGGTGTCAATCAATTCTTTAGTTTGCGCTATGTGAGTCGTGGCGTTTCGAAATACAATACCTTTCGTCAGAACTCTAACGGTCTCATCTCGACATACAGCCGTCTCTCACGATCGGCTATGTTGTTGCCCAGCTTCTCGTCTTTCCCGTAGGACGCGCTTGGGAGAATCTACCACGATGGCGCTTACCACTGGGAAGATTGTCCTTTGACATCAACCCGGGCAGGTTCACAATCAAAGAGCACGCTTTAATTGTCATTGTACGCCTTGGACCTTCAGACTTCAGCGTCAAATACATCCGGCTCCGCTCGTTTTGCTAATACCTTACCAGTGTGTCAATATCAGTGCCAGTGTTGCGTACGCCTCGGGGTCACTCGTGGCTATCGTTAGCCCTGTTTACTGGAACCGGGACTACGGCGCGGGCTTTGGCTTTCTCTATCTGCTAACATCCCAGATGCTGGGGTTTGGTCTCGCCGGCCTGGCCCGCCGGTGGCTCGTCTACCCCGGCGCCCTTATTTGGCCTACCACCCTGTCATCGACGGTCTTGTTCAGAGCGTTGCACGAGCCCCAGGAACATGCTCCTGTAAATGGATGGACTCTTTCTCGGTACCATTTCTTCAGCTGGTTCAGTTTGTTTGCATTTGTCCTCTTTTGGTTCCCGGACTACATCTGGACGAGTCTGGGCACATTTGCATTTGTCACATGGATTGCACCTCACAACCAAAAGGTGAACACAATTTTCGGGGTACGTATCTCAGTTTCCAAATGCCATATAAACTGTCGCTGTAATTATGCTCACCCGCCCGGTTTTATTAGATGAGTTCTGGCCTCGGCCTGCTGCCGCTCAGCATTGACTGGACGCAGATCAACTTTGCTGGCTTTCCATTGATGACCCCGTTTTATATCACCTGTAACGCATTCGCCGTGGTGGTGTTGTTTTACTTGTTTCTGTCGCCAATACTGTACTACGCAAATGTGTGGAACAGCGCATAGTGAGTACCGGACTTCTGCAAAACTGCATCTGTATCCAGAACTAGGGGCTAACAGTACATCAGTCTTCCACTCCTTTCATCTACTACTTACGATAATACGGGTAAAACGTACAACATCACACGCGTTGTTAACGAAAATCTCGACTTTGTTCTCAGCAAATATGAAGAGTATTCGCCCATGTATATCTCCATGTCATACTCGCTCACATACGCGCTGTCCTTTGCTGCAGTCACCTCCATCGTCGTATATACGTATCTGTACAACGGCAGCGAAATATACGCAAAATTCAAGAATGCGCGGCATGGTGGTGAAGATATCCACAAACGACTCATGAACAGCTACAAGGAGGTTCCTGACTGGTGGTACGGTGTGCTAACTGTATCTGTACTTGGTCTGGGGATTCTGACTATCCGTTATTGGGAGACTGGGTTACCTGTTTGGGGGTTTATTGTGGTATGCTTCGGCATGGGCGTACTCCTGATCGTACCAGAGGGTATTCTAGAGGGGACCACAAATCAACGGATGTGAGCATTTACCCCACTGGATATGCTCGGCTAGGAATATGCTGGCTAACAGAAAACAGTTTTCTAAATATCATAACCGAGCTCATCGCTGGTTACGCATGGCCAGGTAAACCTATTGCAAACATGATGGTCAAGTGCTATGGCTACAACTCGGTTAAGCATGGGATGGACTTTGCGCAAGACCTTAAACTTGGACAGTACATGGTAAGGATATGGACGGAAGCCGTGCCTGTTGCTTGTAAGTTTTATTATTTTGCTAATTTACAAAACGTGTTAGAAAATTCCACCGCGCGTCCTTTTCATAGGGCAGATATATGCGTCTATCCTCGCCACTATGACTCAAGTGGGAGGTATGCATCTGTAACAGTTGCTTTCTACTATATTAAATAGAACAGTAACAAGCTAACTCATAACGATAGTTCTCCGCTGGATGATTGGGCATATTCACGGGCTTTGTGAACCTACAAATACGAACCGATTTACCTGCAACGGTGCCTTGGTGGTATACAACGCGTCGCTAATCTGGGGCACCATTGGCCCTCAACGCATGTTTCAGTCAGGCCAGGTGTATAGCGGTATCATGTATTTTTTCCTTCTTGGAGTAAGCTGGCACACCCTCGAGGTCAATATTGCTGAATTCTGCTAACGTTTTCCAGCCCGTGGTCACAGTACTCGTCTACCTGGTCTATCGCAGATACCCTAAGAGCTGGGTACGGTACATTAATGTTCCCATTTTCTTCAACGCAGCCGGACAAATCCCCCCGGCAAATACTAGTACGTTGGACAAGCACACTTAATTTCATATCTATTTGATTACATGGATATTGTTGACAGACATTTAGCTCAATATTCGTTATGGTTCATTTTTGGCTTCGTTTTTAACTTTTCTATACGCCGACACGCCTTTGAATGGTGGAAAAGATATAACTGTGAGTTTTTAAGACCGCATGGATGAGATACTATAATGAAAACAGTACACTGATGATAATATAGACATCCTCCAGGCCGCAATGGACACGGGAACTGCCATTGCAACGATTTTAATATTCTTTTGCCTGAGCTATAACAATATTACACTGAAATGGTGGGGTAATACCGTCGGCTCGAATACGGACGATAAAAAGGCTGTTCCTTGGTTAACAGTTCCGACCGGTGGTCATTTCGGAAAGGGTGCAGGTCAATTCTAGTGTATGACGCTATGATGCCAGTGATCTGTTTCCTATTTGCATAGAATCACACTCAGGTATAAGAATACATTGGCTCTATAATTCGAAACATATCACGTTAGAATATTTTTGGTCAACCGTAATATAAATTCAAGTACACAGGAAATAATCTACAACACACCAACTATGCATTCAGCTCAAGCGTATGGACTGTCTGGAGTTATTGAATACAACGTAAAAAATGCTTAGAGTTTATTGATAAACAGAAGCAGCCGGTGTTAGAGGGGAATATTTTATTATAATCTCACCTCGTATAACTGTTGGTGCAGCTTATCTGACTGCCCGGGACACTCCGGGATATTACGTCCCAAATGTAAGCATTTCCGACGCCAAAACACCATCCTAGCCCATAGAGAGGCAACGAACACATCCTTATCGTTAACACCGCTTATGTACATCGACACTTCTACGGGTTCGCACATAAGCTGATAAGAAGCACCTTACACGCAAAATATACGATTAACGGGACCCCAAGACTGCGTGCCGGGACTCCTCGCACCTTGAGACAATATAAGAACCAATTCGCGTGCAGTTGGTGGACTGGTAGAGACACCGACTCAGGGATGGAGTTGTGCAGAGTGGCATTGCTGCTTGTCAACATTGTCAAGGAAAACATCATCCGTATGAACTAGTGACAAGAATTGTAGCTCGATCACGGTGGTCTCCTAGACAGTTTCGTACTTCAACGCCCTGTGGGTATCCGTTTGCCGGTGGCAGCCGCCCGGTTGATCCCATTTGGACATACCTCCCCAGCATCAGTCATTCGATATCCTTCGTAACGTCTATTTGGATATTGGCCGCAGCTCTGGCTGGAGCACGACATGAACGTTCTCCTTATAGTAGGGGTGTAGAGCACAGCTGTACCCCGTGACACATTTGGAAATGCCGGATCTTGATCTTAGCCTTTTGCGATTTAAGACTACTCCAACCAGCTTGTATGGCCTGTCCCTTCTCTTCATATGAGCATATTGTACTTATGAAATATCACAAACAGACGTCTCCAGAGAATTTGATGATAATTCAAGATCGCCTTGCCCTTTCATAATAAGGAGTGTCTCGAGGCCATGAGAATAATTGTCAATGACATCAGATAGCCATAATGCCGAGTTAGTATCATGAAATATATATCCTGAGCTGGGTTTCATGGAGCCGAGAACTTTCGATAGAGAAAACTGCACCGTGCTAATATGTGTTAAAAAGTATAACACTACATTGTTAATTGTTTGACAGCCGTAAGAGTCTTCAAGTCTCCCGTACGTCCGTTTGTGTACCTTGCAGTAACTGAGACACGCGGCCGACTGCTTCCCAAAGCCTCGTAGGTTGCAACTCTCGCTGAATTGGCCTGGATTGTGTTCGGGATATTGACTGCCGTAAAAGTAGTATTGCTTGCAGTCACGGTGAAGCTAACGCTGGTGAATGCAGTGTCATCGAAGTTGTCCAATGTGATAGTAACGTTTCCACTCTCCGAGCCGATTGTGATACATCCATCAGGTATATCCGGGTTCGAGACCTGGCGACCACGGCGCTTCGCCGGTAAAACACCAGCTCTATACGCCGCTCTCTTTGCTGTTACGGACGCTTGTGACAGCTCTGAGATAATTGTAACCCCGGAACTTCGGCGTCCCGTTTTACCAAAGTTATCAATGTAGCTGTTATTTGCCGTATTGACGCCGTTTGCCGCGTCCCATATACCAGTAGAAAGCAGTATGTTATTGGAAATTGTGTACGAATTCGAGCCTTCGTCTGTATACACACCGTAACCGGTCGAGTCAAAAGCATAATTATCAGAGATAATCGTAGATGGGCTTTTGGAGAGTGTATAGAGAGCTCCAAGATCCGTATGAGAAAGTCCGTAACGGTGGAGCAGGTTACCGTCAATGAGATTATTCTGCGAGGTAGTCGGGGTAGTATATTTAGGCTGGAAGTTGTAGAGACCGCGATTACTGTATTCGGAGCTGCCACCGGCATCATTTGAGCCCCAGCCAAAACCATGACAGATACCAGAGTATGGCGTAATGTTGATATCATTGTGTGAGATTATGGAATATTGGATATAGCTGGCGAAAATCGGTACGGTAGAGCTATAGAGCGAAGAGACGTTGTAAAATATGTTGTTGGTGATCTCTAAGCGCGTGTTTAGCATGCGGCTGTCGCTAGGGTGGTGGGCATCTGCCCTAATTCCGCCTGCAGTGATGCTGTTGCCCATCACCTGGCTAAAATAACCATCCTTGATGGAGATATAGCTTGCTCCAAGACCGACTCCTGAGATGTGTGCATTTTCGTCATTCCCAATGCCCACACCCCCTGCGCCGAGTTGCGTGTAGCTGCCACCTGAGAATGTGATGTTATTCGCAGCACTAACTTGGATAGCCGAGGGCATCTGGCACCACCAGGGCCGCACTGATTCGAAGTTTGACACTGTGTAAGTCTTGTTTTCACATATGTAGCCGCCAGTTTGCTGGTCAACGTAGCCCATATCTGTCGTTTGTAGCCAAGTAGTGTGTGCCTATATTTTTGAATTAGTAAAATCAACAATTTTTGAAATAAGTCTTCACGGAGGCTCACAAAGTTTATGCCCTGGAATGAGATATCATGCGCTGGAGCTGCGTATGTCCCACCAACCGACACGAGCGTACCGAGAGTAGCAAGATATGTTTCCGCCGTAGACATGTCCTCTCCACTTAAGGGTTTGTAGTAGACCTTGCCTGCATCCGAGTCGAGATAAAATTGGCCTCCTTCAGCCAATAAAGCCAGGGCATTCTGCACCCACACTCCAAAGTCGGCGTTTGGTTTCGCAACGTCATCATAACCCCAATTATTATTAAACCACCAGTTTTGCTTCATGACGAGCTCTCTACTTCCAACAGACTGGATTGGCGCATATCGATCCGTGAAGGAGTTGATGAAACGAACTTCCGCATTAGCAATTCCCTGGGTGTTCGTTATCCAGTCATAAGATGACGACGTCCATGTCACGGAAGTTTTAGTGAAGGCGATATCTTTCCGGTTGGCAATCTTCCTCCGCGCGTAATTGGAAGCCTTTCCGTTGACATAGAGGTTGCGTGATTTTGTACCAGCCGGAACACTGGCAACATATATACCGTCGGTCCCAGCTGTCCAACCAGTGACTTTGAGGCCGCCAGATATTGTTGCCTCTGTTCCCACCCAGTTGACATAAAAGCCATTGTTTCCGGAGTCTAGAGAAGTGAATCGTAGTGGCGCCGAAAGGGAGTAAATGCCGTTAGTCAGGCTAACAGTCACATTTTCTGTAATTGGCCTTGCGACCTGGTTTTGGACTGCTTGCTGCGCCGCGTTGAGGGTTAGAAAGGCCTGGGATGCAGATGTACCGGGATTGCTGTCGGCACCGGTAGGGGAAACGTAGAAATTGACAGCCGACGTGGGCGTGCTCAGAAACGCTGCGCACCACGCAAGGAGATGCGATGAGACCTTCATAGCGGCCGTGTTGACAAGTGGAATCAGATATGACAGAAGCGTATCGAAAGGTTTTACTATCCTAGGAGCTCTTGGTCTTATACTAACTGTAGAAACGATTGTTAAACTTTGTTCGGCTGAAGTCATTAGCCTGCCCATATCCGATAGGTTAAGAAAGGTGGTATAATTGGGTGCGGAGAGATAATAAGAATAAAGTATCTTTATTAATTAGGCGTTCGAGTCATAAATTAGCTGTCCGGTAAATTGGAACCCGATCAATATCCAAATTTCACGATGAAGTCGTTCTGTTAGAGCCCACCGAATTAAAGATCGCTACTATTTGTTAATTGGACATTTTGGATGCCGGCACGAACAGCCAGAGTATCCAAGTTACTACTTGTGTGAATATACGGCTATCGAACCTCGTGTATATTAAAATCGCTTCCCCTACTTCGAGAATTTGAGGTAGAATGATGTCCCTAGCGAAATATATACTGATTACCGTGCAGTTCCACAACTCAATCTTTCCACGAACTTTCCTTCCTGTCGAGATCTATATTCCACAATTCTCACACTCTCTCATATCCTCAGAATGAAACTCTTCGGTGGTCAAGGCATCAGAGATGCATCTTGCTACACGGTGCTATTCCTCGTGGCGCTGCTAAGCATGGTCAATGTTAGCGAAGCCGATAACCCCGCCATACAAACAATCTACACCGCGGACCCAGCACCGTTTGTATATAATGGTCGCATGTACCTGTTCGCTGACCATGACGAAGATGGATCTAAAACCTTCGTCATGAAGGACTGGAGGCTCTTTTCCACTACTGATATGGCGAACTGGCAAGACCACGGTGTTGTTGCGAGTCTCTCCACATTTAAGTGGGCTACGGGGAGAGCTTGGGCTGGTCAGGTTATCAACCGGAACAACAAGTTCTACTACTATTTGCCGATGCAAAAGAGTAGTGGGGCTATGGCCATTGGCGTGGGTGTCGCCGATAATGTTACGGGACCTTACAAGGATGCTCTTGGGAAGCCTCTCGTTGATAATAACAATATCGACCCAACGGTATGGATTAATGACGATGGTCAAGCTTATTTGTATTGTGAGTACCTTTCGCGTTTCTCCTCCGCGGCCAATGGTTTCCTGTAGTAAGGAGTCTTGGTCGACATAACCCATTTGTTCTTAAAGGTATGCTACCATTATACGAATATCTGCTGATCTACGGCCTCCTCAGATGCCAATACCGGCTTCGGATACGTCAAACTAAACGAAGACATGATCTCTATTAGCGGTGGTCCAACTTCAATGGCCAGACCAACTGCACTAACGGAAGGACCATGGGTAGATAAACGCAATGGCGTATATTACCTCATCTACGCCGGCAACGGTCCCACGGAAGACATCCGCTACGCAACCAGCAGTGGCCCCGTTGGTCCCTGGACTTACAAAGGTGTCATCATGACAGCCCAAGGCAGTAGCTTCACGAACCACCCCGGAATTGCCGATTACAAAAATAACTCCTATTTTTTCTATCATGATGGAGCTTTGCCTGGCGGTGGCGGCTACACGCGATCTATCTGCGTTGAAAAGTTTAATTATAATGCAGATGGCACCATTCCGCAAATCAAGTGGACCACAACGGGTCCTCCTCAGATCGAGGACTTAAATCCTTACGTGCGGCAGGAAGCAGAAACTATTGCTTTCTCTTCTGGTCTGAAGACCGAGATGAGCAGCGCGGGCGGGATACATGTGACGTCTATTAACAATGGGGATTATATTAAGGTCAATGGGGTTGGTTTTGGAAACGGAACTGGTGCTGCAAATTTCACGGCAAGTGTAGCTTCCGCAGGAAATGGTGGAAAGATCGAGCTTCATCTGGGAAGCAAGACTGGAACACTTATTGGGACATGTACTGTTCCTGGTACTGGAGGTGCGCAGACATGGAGCTCGGTGAATTGCCCGGTCTCTAATACGACTGGAACGCATGATTTAGTCTTTCTTTTTACTGGTAGTGGTAGTGGTTTATTGTTTAACTTTGACTGGTGGCAGTTTACCAGAACCAGTTAGACGATACGTTTTTTAGTATAAACTTAAAAATAGTATTTTTAAAATTTAACACATGTTTTACTTTTATTTAAGTATTTGTATGAGTAATAAAAATAAACAATCGAGGTAGAAATTTTGAGTTAAAATTTCTTCGTGGGTTTCTACGGTACAACAAACAGCAATGTGCAAATTTTTGGCTGTCCCAGGAGAATTACTAAACGATTGAAATGCATTACGCCACTTTTTGCCGTCTGTTAAGGTCTGTTAGCGTTAGAATAGACGAGATGTAAGTCAACTAACTGGTCATAATAAAAGGTAACTTCGTTATTGTGTATAGAACCGCAAAATGAACGGAGACATGCCGCGGATTAAGCCTGTTGAAGATTAAGGATAAGCACCGCATATCCCTTCCCAGTCGTTATCTTGTTGGACGACGACTGTGCGGTTATCACCCGTCGGATCTGTACCTGCCTGTTGGAAGCCGGTGCGAAAGAAATCTGAGCAATAAACAGGTTAAGCGACATGCACTCCATGCCACTCTATCTAGATACTAGTCTAGCTGTGGTGCTCCAAGCTTGCAACCATATCTGCGAGATGTTCGGTCCGGATGTTCCTTTCTCTATCTTAATTTACATATGATGACGTCGAGGTGCTTCCACCTTTCCAAATTACGGGCTACCATGGAACCCACAAATTCGATAATTAGACGGTATAGAATGTATGATCTGCTATAAAAGACTGGACTACTTGCTACCAGGACGAGCGTAGATATGGCTTTATTGTAACACAAATCCACAGAAATGTAATTCCTATAGCACACATAGCCTACAAAGTTGTATTGCCCTTCGCATGCCATATCGTACTCTGTGATCTGCGTTGTCAAATTTGTAAAGAATATAAAACCCTCCAACCTGGTGAACTTACAGGGTGTCCTTCTTCCTCTCTATACCAAAAACGCTTACGAGCGTAAAATCTCATAGGTACGGCTTTGATTCTGTGTGAGAGAGAAAGATGCCTGCATAACCATCATCAATGGTTGCCTTTTTAACGAGAGCCAGGACCGATTTCGCACTGTCCTCTGGCCTCGCAGGTCCTTGGAAAGAGGGTGAATATTGTTTAAACTTCCCAAACATAGCCATAGCCAACTGTCCTTCCTCCTCAGTTTCTATCAAAAACGTTAGCAAAGCAGAATTCTGTTTCACTAGTTGTCAAAGACGACGACTGACCAATATTTAGACTGCCGGTATCAACGGCACCAGGGCATATAGCCATACAAAGGACGCCTTTCTCACGGTACACGGCGCTGAACTTGGCGATGGCCATATTGAGAGCCGCCTTGGTTATGGCATAAGAGGTGGCTTGGTAGATGTCTGCTTGGAGTGTCATCTCCGGGTCCGACATGCCTGTGGAGATGGCAATCACTTTCTTGGCCCGGCCTTTCAAAACCAGGGGCATGAAAGCGTTGAAAAGATGGACAGCGCCGATGGTATTGACTCGGAAGTGGTCTATCAGATCTTGTTCAAGAGCTTTTGAATCGTGGCTCCTTTAAAGGAATTAGTCAATAATTCACGTATTCAAAGGATCGCTCTCTGTCACTCTTCCTAGAGCTTACAAAGTATCAAAGCCAACCAACGCCGTCTTGGCTTGAAGTGCGGCATTGGCTATGACATAGTCAATGGTGCCATTGGTTATGTGAGAAATATACTGAACTGCTTTCTACCAAACCGACGGGTTAGTTTCGACTGCGGTTCTGTTTAAATATGTACTCATTAGCTTACCTCCAATGCCGCTGGGTCCGTGGTGTCGGCCTGGATAATGTGGATATTCTTCCGGCCGATTTCAGCGGCAATCTTGGACTCGACGGCTGCTTTGTCGCGGACGAGACCGAAGACGGTATTGGATGGGTTGTCAGAGAGCTGGCGGACAAACTCGAACTAGAATAATTAGTATTAGTGACACGAGTCTTGTACATAAGTCGGGGAAGAAAGAACATACGCCAAGTCCCCGTGAGACACCGGTAATCACCCAGGAAGACATTGTTAAAGAGTGTGAAATTTCGAAAGACTGAGATGAAATTGCAGAGTGTTTTTGAGAGTTTGAAGATATTCGATCCAAAAGAGCAGCAAGAAGTGCATGTGTTTATATATCGACCGTGAACCTGGTTTACTCGCTGTTATTGATTTCAAATCCGTCCTTCTATCTTGTACCAATACGCTGAAAGTAAGGTCGGTTCCACTTTAAACTACCACACAAAAAAGTTGCCAGTTTTCTTAAAGCAGAAAGACCAAACGCATACTAACGACGCTTACGGGCGGAACGGCGATTTAATCATTGACAGCTACTCTCTCGTTCATTTGTACATGCATAAGTATGGTTAGCACGCCTCCAGTTGTCTTCATTTTGATTCCGGTCGTAATGCCTGGCATTTTTGTGGTTCGAGTCTTGTGCTACTAATGGTACGAAGCTACCTTGGCATTTAAAATAATGCCAACTCGGTCCGCATTTCGGCCGACTTTGTCGACCTCACCGGACACAAGTCTAAGGTTCTTAGTAAACGACCTTTTATCGAGGACGTAAAGCTCAAAGTACTTCACGGTTTGATGCCTGGGAGTATCATAAAGGCGTGATTTTTTAAAACATAAATTTAAAAAAAAATATAAAATAAATGATAACACAACGAGAAAAATCCTAAGATAGATGTTTCTAAACAAAACTCGGCATAATCCGGTAAGAAGTTATGACGGCGTCCAGCGTATTCAAATAATCCATATCATAATCAACAGCAAGGTCGTGCTGGACCCAAATCTGCTGGAGAATGTTTTGTAGGTCATGCAAGCTCCTCAAACTCGAGGTTTTCCTTGCTCTGCCAATATGCTCGAGAATTTTCTTTCTCTGCTCATCTTTACGAGCCTCGCATCCAATAATGAACAGTGGGAAGGCCGGATGAAAGGCCTCCAGGTCATCTAAAAGTAGATACGCCCTCTCCACCATTACGTCAATCTGAGGGGAGATGCCTGAAAAGTTCCGCGATGCCCTTTTCATGTAAATTAAAGCGGCAAGCTTGAAGAGCTCGATTACAGCTGCCCAGGCTGTGCTCCGCTGGGACATGATATCCGATGTACCTTCTGATGCCGACGGGACAATCTGATTTATCTTATTCTCAAGACAGCGTAAAGATTTTTCGTATTCGTCATCGAGGTATAGTTCATCTGTCGGTTGTTGAATCATCTCGAACAGGAAATTCAGAAGTCGAAGAATTTCATGTGAGCAGTACGATACATCTTTGAACTATCTCATGTTGAATTAGTGCCGGTAAAGAAACCTTGTAATTTTATACTTTTCAGCCTCACCTTTCGTAGCTGGCAAGTACCCTGGTCCGTAACTGCGGACGTTTTTATTCCTTTTCTAGGCATATCGTGTATATACCAATGTCGGATAGTAAAGCGGCCCATGACCATATGGTACTCCACCCAACCTAGAAGGCCGGAAAATTCGCGTTGAAAATATTGACTGTCAACGCCTGCGTTGTCGATTAGATTTTTGGCTTGGCTCAAATGACCTAGAATCCAGAGTACAGGTTAGCAATGTCCTTGGAAGAAACAAGTCACCCATAGAATGCGAAGGCGGCGCGAGGAACTACCGCATTAACCACACGGTACTCACAAAACCACAAGGAGACATTATTTGGCATTCCGAGCATCTTGAGAATTGGTAAGTATTTGTTATGTCTAGTATTTTTGTTCCGGTTATTCAAGAAAGATAGAGTCCTAAAGCCCAAACGTACCTCGAGGTGGCACAGTACCATACTAGCCGCAATATGTTGAGCGACTATGGGGCTATCAATACCGGGAGTGTAAGATGTGACTAGGGTACGGAGAGCGAGAGCTTTGAACCGGTAAACATCTGCTTGCAGGCCATGCCTGTGGAATGACGAGAGCGCCAAAACCGACTGTAGTACAGCCATCGAAGACGGTGAATTGTCTGAAAGAGCCAGTCGTACTAGAAGACTAAAGAATTCATTGTTGTTTGGTTCGAAAACAGCCAACGTGGATGATGCCGTGTATATAACTACAAGTTGTTAGCCTTTATCAAATGCTACAATTTACTGACTAGCATACTTACAGTGATCAAGAAGTTCCTTGTTCTCAAACCTTAGACTGATTGGGAGCCATGATGGCGCCATCGGTAGATCGAGTCTTTGAACGACAAGTCCCTCGTCACTATCAAGTCCTGTATTTCTATAGCATTAGTTGGTGGTAGATATGATGAGCATGATGGTTAAATTCTTCACCATACCATAGGCAACGAACCTTGATTCATCCTTAGGAAATGGTGGAGCTGAATATCCCATGACGTGGTATTCACAAAGCTTGTTTGGGAGACATTTTTGCTAATCTCAGAGACAACCTGAATGGAATGGGTCAAGCTCCGCTTCGGATTCGTAGCCTTTGGCCACGACAACCGCAATCCATACTGGCATTGTCTATTAGACTTGGCACACCTGGAACAGCATGGACGTGCGCGGTTGCATACGGCTCTAGAATCTGTACGTGTTGAGTGAAAAGCGCACGTAATTAAGGACAGGCGAAAGGGATAAGGACAGTACCTCTACAAGCCCAGCACTGATTTGTATGCATGGTGGACGGATGTGTTGAATGTGTAGGTTGAGACAAAAGTTAGTATGTATGAATGAAGAACGCTACATGCTGTTTATCTTATACGTTACTCGGTGAAATTTGGATTATTAATACTCGCTTACTATTCCACTTAAAGAAAACAAGCAACTTTTTTACATTTTCACTAATCGCATTGAGCCGGCGTGGGGGGCCTAGGCCCAGGCCTTATGCCTCAAATAAGCCGTCTTGTTAGTTAGTCAAGGTTAACACCGACCGACGAAAGTTTGCATGGTCGCCAAGACCGGACCCGCCGAATTAGCACCACGCTGTCTCACCAAAATCTCGTTCCTTGGAAGTTCCCCCGCGCCTGACCCCAAGAACCATAAATGCTCACTCGAAACGAGTAGCGTTTATTGGCTCGTTGTGTTGTATGCATTTTTCTGTGTTTGGCTAGTCTTGCCTTTTTCTCGCACAGACGACGCAACTTCGAGTCACCTCACTTCGTTCACGTTTGCAGAAGCATGTTTTATACATTAATAATGCCCGAAACGTAGAAGATCGTAGATGGCAAACCATTTTTACTGTTAGTGTATTAATTCGCTGTTCGTGTCTCACACTTGACTCTTGACTAATGTCGTAGAGCTGGCTGGTGCATACTCCCATATTCCTATACAACTGGAGCAACAACTAGGGCTAAGTTATTACACCATACAAAAGAAGAAGGCATGTCGAAAGGCAATCCCCACAATAACCTGAAAACACCCGAAACCGAGCCTTTGCATCACGGCACATTACCTAGCATACGAGGGATTTTGTTGTGTAGAGCTGTATAGTCAGAGATAATTCCAGTGGTGATACATCACGAGGCCGTATAAGCCACACCTTAGTGACAACGTTGCCTAGTTTCACAACGATAGTTTGGAAATCAAGAAATCGGACAGTCTTATCATAAAAGTTACACACCCTAGCAGCCATTCGCTTCGACGTTCGGCGCACGTCGAGCCCTCTTTTGCGGGGGGCTTTTCTTGTGGGGCCCTGTTTTTCGCCGAAAGTCTGTCCTGCGCTCGTCCACCAAGACCTTGGCGGATTCCGGCGCTCGTCTACCCCAACCCCAAACCCCTAGGGGGGGGGGGCCCTGCGCCTTTAATAAGGCCAACCAGGCCAGCCAGGCTAGACAGGGTTAACTAAGCCAGACAGGACCAGCCAGGCCAGACAAGGCCAACTAGGCCAACCAGGGTCAGCCAGACCAGACAGGGCCAGCCAGACCAGACAGGGCCAGCCAGACCAGACAGGGCCAGCCAGACCAGACAGGGCCAGCCAGGCCAGACAAGGCCAACCAGGCCAGACAGGGCCAGCCAGACCAAACAGGGCCAGCCAGACCAAACAGGTTAGGGTTAGGCAGTTAATTAGTCAGGTTTTAGGGTTAGGGTTAGTTAGGG